CCACATCATGAGAAGAAAGGAAAGCTTAGAGAAGACGATGATGCTGGAGGAAATGGAAGGAAAAGGGAAGAGGGGCTGACCAAGGGCAAGATGGATGGATGGCATCCTTGAAGTGACTAGATTGGCCTTGAAGTAGCTGGGAGTGGCCATGGTCAACAGGGAGCTCTGGCGTGGGTTGGTCCATGAGGTCACGAAGTTGGAAACGACTGAACGAATGAACAATGAATCTGTCTGTCTGTCTGTCTGTCTGTCTGTCTGTCTGTCTGTCTGTCTATCTATCTATCTATTTGTCTATCTCTATCTATAGACATAGATAGGCTGGAGTTTCACTTTAAAATGAACCTGCTCCGACTTACAAATTAAACTTAAGAACAAACTGACAGATCCTATCCACTGACAGTAAAGCTTTTATAACTGTGAGTTTCCTTAAACACACTGCTCTATCCTTAGAAACAGTATCACTGGAGAACAGACCCCTATCTGTCTCACACACTGGGCAATAAGCTCCCTTATACTATCCCTAAGTATAAGGGGACAAGTCTTTCTGTTACTGATCCTCTCAATACAGTAACCCTAGCCCTTGTCTGCTTCGTATTCCCTATCCTAAGGCTCACTTTAAAGCTTTCTTTCCCTGTCAGAACTCTATTTAGCTTCCTCTCCTAAAAATCCCTTCCTTCTGTGTCTGATGTCAAGACACTTCTCTCTCTGTCAAAAGCTGACAGCCTCTTTTTCTCTCTCAACCGACTCCTCCCCTAATTGCTCCAACCAATCAGGAGTCGGCTTGACTCCTCCTCCTGCTTCTGCCTGTCTTCCAAGATGACAGCTACTGTCTCTCAGGCTCCGGCCTGGTCGCCTTAAAGGTAGATTTCACCACAGAGGGCAATCCCTTTTTGGTATCCAGGTTTTATTGGGTAGCCTCTCAGAAATCAGCTAATGGAAAAAATCTGTTTTTGGCCAGGCAACTGAAAGATCTGGGAAGACCTGGCCCTTTGGTGGGAGTGAGGAACTTATGAGGCTCCTCTTTCCATTCCTGAGACCCTTTCCTATCCTTCTTTCAAGGGAGTCTGGGCTTGAAGAATGAGGTTAAGGAAGCATCCTTCCTGGGACCCTTTCCTATTTTCCTTTGAAAGGAGTCTGGGTTTGAAGAATGAGTTTAAGGAAGCTTCCCTCCTGGGACTCTTTTCTTTCTTCAAGGAAGTCTAGGTTTGAAGAATAGGGTTAAGGAAGCACCCCTTCTGGGACTCTTTTCTTTCTTCTGTTCGAGTAAGTCTGGGATGGAAGAACGAGGTTAAGGAAGCATCCTTCCTGGGACTCTTTTCTTTCTTCTTTTCAAGGAAGTCTGAGCAATGGGGTTAAGGTTCAAGACATTCTTCTATTCTGATTGACCCAACAGGTGGGGCTCACAGGGAAACCCCATGCAAGCAGCACATGGCAGCCTCTCTGCATGCCATGTGGTGCTGAAAAGGGAAGGAAGAGCCATGATCGACTGCCAAGTGGTCCTGTTACAGACAGAAAAACATGACAGCTGAGCCCTTACTGTTATGGCCATCCAACCAAGTAGAACAAGCTAGATTGACCGAAGGGAACTGATCACTCCGAATCCGTGCACAAGCCTATTATGAAGTTCAGTTGGGATATCCAAAGTTTCAAGTTTATTTTCCCTACAGTTTCTTACTACCTCATCAAATGGGGTACTTTCCCTATTGTATGCCACTCGTTCTTCTCTTTCAGAATGGAACCTATTACATGATGCACACATACTTCCGGCCAGGCTCCATTGGGAAAGGGGGGAGGAAGTAGCATATGTCACTGTGGCGGCAACACATGAGGCTTTCAGTGTTGCCTTCAGAACAATGGGAGGAAGACAGGCAGTGACACTCCCCTCCCCCCATTCCATGGTAAGTCATATGATGTGGGGTGTGGATATTTTCCATTCTCTCCACCAAGAGTCCATGGATTCACCACGATGAGTGAATCCAAGGGCTTTTGTGATGAGGTCCTTACTGATTTCTGATGGTTTCTGGATTGTTTAATTTAAATATATTTGTGCATTGTCCCAAATCTTGGAAAGACATTTCATAATCTGTGAAGACAGAAGCTTTGAAAAAGTGTTTTAGAATTCACCAACTATTACAGTTGTTACAAGTTCCATCCCCCCCCCCCCCAAATGTATGAACAGTGGTCGTGCCGGCTAGGGAACTCAGAAATATGTAATCTGCCATACACAGTCAACAGTATTTGGGCCTCAAGCAATATTGAAGACAGCATTGGGCTAAATGCTTATTGATAATTGAACTTGGGTTAAAGGCAGATGGCCATTGACCAAACAACCAGGTAAACATGTTTTGTGTAAAAACTGTCTAAATTGATGGTCGGTCTGTTCTACCAAGGGTGGAGTACAAAGTCTT